AAAAAGGGGTGGACATCGGGAAAGGGGAGGGTAAATTGAAAGTGAAAGTGAGGTGAAAAGGAGGCAGAAAGGTTGAGTGTAATTGATGACAGACACAAATAGATAAAGGGGTGGGGCATATTGTCTCTTATTAACCAAGTAAGTATGTACGTTGTTTTAAAAGTAAATGATATAGAAAAAATATATGTTGTGGAATAAAAATATGACTATTCTGCTTCAAGGTGTAAAAGGAAAGACATGCAGACAGGCCTAACTACATATTGTTTATTGTGGAATTTGTGATAGATTTGCCAAATTAAATTCATTATTTTGTTTCATTATGAGCATGCTTTATGACACTACACTTCATGTAACAATATAATAATAATGTGGCTATTATAATACGAAGCCTTAGCTACATGCATTCATTTACATATACACCCTCTACATAATGTTAATGGTGAATGTTATTAAAATATCTGAATATGAATTGTAGTAGTTGGCAACACTAACAGGTTCATAGCATAATATGACTGAATCATGATGTGACATATGAGGATATCTTTCTATTTTTTTCTTAACTAATTTTTTTACAACAAAGTTCTTTTTCAAAAACAAAATGAATAATACTGCACAGGTCAATAGTCTAGCAAGTTTGGCCACAATCTATTGAGCAGTTTCTGAGATATACACTAGACTACAATCAGACTACTTATCTTGCCCTTACAAAGAAATGAGTAAATTATACGCAATATGTACACTGTAGCAAAAAAAAATCTTAGAAAAAATAGCATAATTTTAAAGACTAAGCAAAAATTTAAAAATAGTCACTTATTATTAAACCTGTTCAAATGGCTACTTAGTACACACAACACAAGTAATAGCTCTATTGTTAACATAAGGTGGACAAGGTAGACCATTACAGGTTGACATTGTGAAGTAGAACAGAGCACCATCAGTACTGGCCTCACTGCCATCAATAGATTCAGGATTTTCATCAACACACTCATAGACTTTATTATTCCTGTGATTATAATGTTCGGCCATCAGATATCCTTTATATTCCATAGTCCATGATGAAGGACAGCTGGTTCTAGCAGGAATCATCAGTTTAACACTCTTAGTAGATGTATAACATACCGCACAAGGAGCATTGTGATTATCCTTTCCTGGAAATATACCATTTGCAACTTCATATTCAGTACCATACATGAATGCTTGACCAGCAGAAAGAGTTGTATTCAAATATTGAGGGACCTTTGGTAAACAGAAATAGTTAGCTCCTCATCCTGGATCATCCCAGCGACTACCTCC